CACCGAGCGCACAGCGCACAGCGCATAGCGCATGGCGCACAGTGCGCTCGCTGCAAATGTGCGCCCCGCGCACAGCGCACCGCCCCGCGCACAGCGCACCGCCCCGCTCAGCGCACCGCATCAGGGCGCCGCAAGTATGCCTTGAACCAAAAGCAGAATTGCAACACGAGTTCCACCCAAATAAGAAGACAGCATAAGCTCATAAGTGACAATGCTGGAATAGTCTCATCATCATCAACGAGAACCAATGTCGAACCTCCTATCTGGCGCTCGGCGCCCAGACTACAGATGGCAGATCCTATCTAGCCTACATCTACAATGCCGCTGGTGACATCAACAGCTCCTTGAAGTACGAGCAGATCTCGGACAATGCCGTCGCCTCACACACCAGGTACGTCTCACGCATCACTCATCAACCCCGTTCCCACTCACAGATGCCACTTGCACCTATTAAACAGACAAAGCAAGTGACACATCCCACAGATAGTCCAGTTACCATCCCACAGAACAACATATTTTTCTTTTTTCTTTTTTCTTTTTTCTTTTTTCTCAGGTTTCTTTTTTGTCTTTTTCCTTGGTTTCTTTTTTTTTTTTTTTTTTATCTTTTTACTTGGCTTCTTTTTTTATCTGTTCATTCTAAACTTTATCTGTCACCCCCTCGGCAGATAGGACAACTACGGTGAGGATGACGGGGATGTTCACAGGGATACCCAAGGAGGGTTGGGCTAGCACAGCATTCAGCCGGACGGCTAGCACGAACCATCCCATCAAAACAATCCTGACAGAGGACATGTTGCCCACATGTCAAGAAAACAGCAGGATGTTCGTCACAGTGCGGCATCATTAAGTTCTGATAACGTCCTTGGGCACAGAAAGGACGACGTACATCTGGGTGATAGGGATGTGCACAATGAGGAAATGTTAGACACCCTTCCGCACATACGGCAGCAGTCGCAATTGATTGATAATGGTGCTGACACAGATAATGCATTCCACAACCAAGACGCACCACGTCTCTATCCCGACAAATGTCGCACGAGAGACGCTTAACAATCCAGAATAGTGTATGATTTGACAAACCTCGCAAGAATTCATTTATGTTGACAATAACCTGAATCACCGTCCCACCATCCCACAGTTCCCACTGGGAAGCTGCATGAATGAGTGCCATATAATGCCCGGATTTGTGCAAAATGCATGCAGAAATATGAGGATGGGCATTAAGGTCCTCGCCTGCCGTCGCATAATGCATAAGAAGGTGGCGACCGTGAAATGCTAACTGCAAGATATTTACAGTAAAGCTCCTGACGTAGTATAATTACTATCCTCAGGAGGTATTCGGTCTATCCGTCATTTCAGGAGCGTTGGTTCCGTTAACACAAAAGTGTTGATAATAATCGGAACGTTCCACAGAATGGTAGCGAATACGTATGACGTGAATGATTTAACAGCCGTACTGGAATTATATTGCACAGAGCTCAAATTATTGGAATACCCATGGAAGACTACACGTCTGGCAATACTGGCCTTCATCAGGAACTGTACAGACAGCACGGTGCGGAACATCTTCTTGAAACTGCTGGAAGAGAACGACATGAAAAATTGGAATGCAAAACGAAAATGACACGAAAAACAATCGCGTTTGTCCCTAGGCTACCAGCCGGGCCGCCCGGGTCACCCTGTTTTCCTGGGCAGCCCGGCCGTGCAAGGACCAGGGTAAGGTCCCAGCAAAAAAACAAATCCAAAAAATTCCAAAAAATCCGAAAAAAAACTATGTTATGCAGAAAAATAAACCGAACAACTTTTGCCGCAGGGTCACAGCGAAATTGCTTACGAGATTTTAAATAAAAAATATAATTAAAAAATATTTATTTATTTATGATTTATTATTATTATTTTTGGCCCCGCCGGGCAAGTGGTCCCGGGCCACTCTGGTAGCCTAGGTTTGTCCATGGTAAGATAATACAGCATGCTCCCCTGACTACCAAAACAAAGAACATAAAGCCAGGAACTCTTGTGAATTACCGCAGCCCATAAAATTTTTGCGAATCAAATCGAAATATAAAAGCATTTAGAAAAATTCCGAACGAACGAAAGAAAAGAAAATATAACAAACTGGTGGCTGAACGAGAATTCTAAGTTCTGAATATTTCAGCAGAAGCGATCCATCGCAGTGAAAGCAACCCACGGCATGCGAGTGCAGGACTTCACGTAACCGGACAAGACAAAGACAGACCAAGACGAGACAAAGCAAACAAAGACCAAGACGAGACAAAGAATGGGAAAGAAACCCCCGAGCGCATCAATTCGAATGATAGGCATTGAAGTACATAGGGAATGTCGACGTAAAACCGTCGTAAACTTGAAGCACGACTGACGGTTTACCCTACACGTGTTTCGGCCGGGCCGTCAGAACACCGCCCATCATCAGGGGCTGCGCTAGAGATGGGGAGAGAAATAGAATGACAGACTACTTATATCAAGGAACTGGGGCGAAAGCCAAAAAACAACTGGGCCAAGCGGAACCGGTTACCGGGACCGGGACTGGGCCAACATAGTGGAACTCATATGACCACCGCAGACCTGCTGGGACCAATTCGTAAAGCAAGAAACCCAAATGGCCCACCCGCGCTTGATTCTTATGTTAAAATTGAGAAGAGCCTTGTCGAAGTACTTGTCAGGGAACCCACGTCTTCTGAGTTCCATCTTCAATGTGAACAGGAAGCACGCCTCTGCTGCTGGTAATGTGCCCATGGCATATATGAAAGAAGGAAGAGATTTTGAAGGGAACCCACGTCTTCCGAGCAGATTGACCTGAAGTCCTGAAGATTTTGAAAAATAATGCCCTTTCCTTCTAGCAGATTGTCCTGGTTTTCGTGAAGGGCCTGACAGAAGATTCGAACGGGCTCTCTTCCTACTAAAATCCGACAACCCAGGTAAGGCCACTGCCCCCCATTACTGGTACATTCTAATGTAAGATGCTTGTCATAACAGTTAGTGTCAAAATTGTGCATGATGCCCTCTGCCTTCCTCATTGACCTGTATTGCTGTTTCTTAAATCTAATGAAAACCGAGACATCATCTACAAGCCTACACCCAAAAACCAAGCGTCAGTCGTTACCTAAACTTCTCAGAAATGTGTACTCATTGTGTGCACACAGCAAACATGCCAAGGCTGGGCTCGAAGACTTACCCATTGGTATGCCAAGGTTCTGTTTAACTACTTTACGAATTGCCATAGTATACGTTCTCCCCAAATCATAGACGATGAATCGAAGTAATAACGAAAACTTAACTGACTTATATCCCGATTGCGAGTTAGAGACCCTACTTAGAATAACACTCCTACTTTTACAGTTGACAAGGCACTTGTAGTAGCCTTTCTCTTCGAAAAAACTTACTGCCCATTCAACGGCCGCAATGACCGACGAATGTGGCAACTGATAGAACATTTCCTTAACATTGAAACTGCTGGCAATAAGATAATCTCTGGGAGCGATACTCTTGTTGACCTTGGACAGAAAGGTGGTAAGTAAGTGAGTGCAGTGCAGGTTGAGATGGGAGTTAGTAGGGAGACGTTTGAGGAACTCGTTAACACAGAGTGAGATGATTCTAGCAGCTTTACGGGAGGGTTCATTCCAGGATGGGCAGATCGGGCGCCACTTATTGATGTCTTTGTGTTTTGGGATTACATAGGATCTTCCCAATTTGCCAGATGATAACCATGGAGCCAATGCTTGCAGCTTCTGCGACATGTAATCGGTCTTGCATAGTTGCAGTATGCTATTCTCAACTTCCGTGATGACCTGCAGTCCTGGATTCTCTGTAAACAGTTTACGTAAACCTCCAGCGTATATAGTAGGGCAGCACACATATGCGTCGCCTGCATTGTGATCCAACGGACATAAAACCAAACCTTCAAATCTAGATTTCCACGGGTGAACGTCGTGAAACGAAATGCACCCGCCAGGCATATTACTACGGTTACTCTTCGCAAAACAGCCGTCTAGTCCAACGAGCAGGGCATCAAAACTTGCCCCGAAAAACTGCTCAAACGATTCCGCTATCTGCTTCCTAAGTGATTCGGCATGTGTAGCATAACTGGGATAAACATGATTTTAAGAGTTACGTGGATAATCGGGAAGAATATCATACTCGCTAATTCTAAAAGATACATGACCATCGGTCCTTGGGAATGTCGAAGAACCAGAATCACAAGTACAAGAAGGTTCAGAGATAACATAGTAGCTCCTAAAGTTGTGCAGAATGTCGAAAACAGTCTGGTTCTTAGTCCATACCACGCGTAGTTTCCTACACACCAATTGCAAGTACGATCGCGGATAGTTTAATTCCAGTATACTATGATGACAAACTCGCCTAATTGCAGACTTCACAGCATTTTCGTCGTACCTAATACGGACGACTAGACGGGCGGAGAGATTGAGGGATAACCACCTACGACAGACTTGAGAGAGGATGATACGCATGGTGGTACGGGATTTCTTGGTTGAGATGGTGCGAACAGCATTATAGGCATCGACAAGTGAGTTGAGACTCCAAGATGAGAGGTCCCGGCGGGATTGAGGATGCTTCAAGAGTTCAACAAGACTGTCCTTGCAGGGGAGCGATTAGAGTTCGATGGTGTGGAAGGAGATAGTAGTTCGGGGTTGAAACCAAGCACAACAATGTTTTAGCAGGGAGACGGGAAGGTTTGAGGAGGAAATGGTGGAGCAACCAAATAGGCGACGAATAATCTTCTATTTATCAGAGAAGCAGTTGCCGGACAGGATGTGGACAGAAAGTGGGAAAGGGAGTTGAGACTGAGAAAGCTGACGGAGAATCGATACTAGACTGGAAGAGGGAAGACCGAGAGGTGAAGAAAAAAAACTTAAGGGAGATGGGAGAGATAGAGTAGAGAGAGAAGAAGAAGGTGGGGGATAAGTTTTCCTCTTCCGTTTGCTCCTTTCCATTTTCATCTATTTATATGATATATGATTGATTCCATTATATATTATTTCCAAATATTCTTAAAACTTGGATATAATTGGTCCATAAGATCTCCGGGGCGACAAAGGCGATGGCGGGAAATGCGCGGTCTAGTGGAGTTGAGAGGGAGAAAAGGAACGAATGAAAAATTGCTCAGTGGACATAAGGTCATCGCCGCAAGGGATAAAGATAGGAATAGGGATATATCCTTCAGTACCAACTCTTCGTATCCATCTATACAGTTTACGATTCCTACTACGCGGTTTGATAGAATGAGTGGAGAATAAGTGTTCCTTCCAGCGAATATTAACAGATCGGGAAGTGCACCCTATATAACAGTGCTTGTACCAGGGTGAGATGAGCGCACAGACAACAGGGCCGGGACAAGATTTGAAATTATAGCCGATCTCAAGTAAATGCAATAAAAGGTCACAGAATTTATTACGCCACCGAACCCGATTATTAATAATTAGTAATACAACAATTAATCGGAATAAATACAAAATATCATCCGAGGGTGAGGACTTCCGAAAATCGTGACATAGCAAAGCCCACTTCCATAACGTAGATACCCTCAGGGCGCGACCTCACTCATCATTAACATCTTCACTGGAAGTGGCGTAGGCCTGGTCCTGTTCATCGTGATCCTCGTCTTGAAGACCTTGATCTTTCAACCAATCAGCGAATCTCCTTCTCGCGCGATTCTCAGCCACATCAGCTTTCGACTGGTCGAGCTTAATGTATGTGATCCCTTCATCATCACACATCTTCCGCATATCGGCTTTCTTCGCCTGACGAACTGCACGCCGCTCCTCCTCCTGAAACTTCGAGTTCCGTAGCTGGGTATCCTCTGCTTTACCTGCTACCTCATGCGTCTCCTGAGTAGCTTTGGCATTCCCTTCCTTACCCGAATCATCATCGTCAATGTGTATCGCACTCAAGGTAGGCCTTAGATTCCGCGGTGTAGTTCTTCTTACGGCCGACCGCCTACCGGTGGCACGTTGCTTCGTTAACAGTTGAGCACCCATTCTCGCCACTCGTTCTTTGAGAGCTTGGATCTCCTTGTTCGCCATGTCTTCACCTTCCTGCGCCTTCTTATAGGCCTTCTGGAGAGACTCCAGATCTTTCGGGGTATACACCGCGTCACCAATGGGAACCATTCGCTGCCTGGCTTTATCAGGTTCGACAGGTGGACTCTTCTCAGCGATGGCATCAGAGGCCCTCTTGTTATTACATGAATTCTTCAGATGTGCGATTTCCCCTCTGAGATCTTGGAAGTCCTTGAGGGAGGAATTCTCTGCTCTAAGGACACCCAACTCACTGCTTCGATCCTGCAAGGCTGTCCGGACAGCTTCGAGCTCTTGGATCTGTAGCCGCAGGGCAGCAATCTCGTCGCTGCGCGAGTTCTCGGATGAAGCCATTGCTGACTGGTTGATATCGTTGCGTGCCTTCAGCATCTCGATTTCCTTTCTGAGTACCACCTCTTCGTTGCTCATAGCGTCCGCCTTCTGAAGTGCCTCTTTCTCTCGTCGTAGCGCATCCAGACTTGATTCGGCTTTCTCACCTGCACACCTAGATTTTAACTCCTCCAGTTCCCTCCTTAGCTTACTCACATCAGTCTCGTCCTCGTCTCGTCCTCATCTGCGAGATCGACTTTCTTGCCCAGGACAGATTCGCAAACAGTTTTTATGCTGCTCGTAACTATTTTACCCAACCTCGCCTCCTGCAATTCCTTCTCCTTTCTTGCTTGAGCATTTTTCTCTTCTTCGATCTGTAGTCTTTTCTTCTTAGCTTCCAGCAACTCCAGCTTGGCTGCTTCTTGTTTCTTCTGCTGCCGTTCCTCCGCTTGCTCCGATAGTAGTCCGTAGATTTTGTCGAAACGATCATCCCGATCTTGATATCGGTAATTCCCTGAGTACGGTTTCGAATAACGTTGACCATCTTGATTACCTCGAAAATCGTTTAATCCTCCGATGTTCGCTCCCGCGTTGTTAATGACCGTGTTCTGCGTCGCTTGATACGGTACAATGGCGTTGGACATGCTGGCCATCCCCGTTCCTTGCGAAGAAGACGAAGAGTAAGAAGAGTTCGGGGCAGGCAACAAGACGCCACTGCCCTGACTTGAACCGTTATTCATGGCTCCTTGGATGTTGGCCACCATCTCCGCTCCCTTCGAGCAGCTGCGAAAGGGACACTCGCGTATGAAGTGGTCGGGTAGCCGACAAAAATGGCAACCCCCCGGCCTGTACATCTCGTAACCGGAGGACTACAGTCATCCTCTAAAAATCTCCGCCCACCAGGAAGGGAGAAGGCAGATAGAAAAGGTGGAAAGGAAGAGACTAGGTAGAACGCAGGAGATTAGAGTGGAGAGTAAGATAAGAAATGAGATACAAGTGTGAAGATCGCAGTCACACAACCGGGGTGAAATCTCCCCGTTGGTTCTGTGCGTGTATGTCACAGTGAAAGCAACACACGGCATGCGAGTGCAGGACTTCGCGTAACCGGACAAGACAAAGGGCCTCGCCACACAGGTTTTCAAAACGTGCAAAAAGAGAATGAACTTTTTGCTAGAAAACGACTAGATTCACTCGCAACATTTTTGTCTTTTGCATGTTTCTAAAGTCTGTGTGGCGAGGCCCAAAGACAGACCAAGACGAGACAAAGCAAAGAAAGACCAAGACGAGACAAAGAATGGGAAAGAAACCCCCGAGCGCATCAATTCGAATGATAAGCATTGAAGTACATAGGGAATGTCGCTTGAAGCACGACTGAAATAGAAAATGGAAACTGAGCACCCGACCTCCTTAGTGATATGCAAAATACGGAGAGCGTATTCAACCCTTGATTTCAGGAGTTGAACCGATTCAGCACTCCTAGGTTCTTCTTAGCACTACGTGCAAACACATGGAATATAAATCTCGGCTTCAAGGTATACAGACTCGCGACACTGATTTTTTTTATTTTATTTTTTTCAAAAATCAATTATAACCGGGAAACGGGCCCGGCGTCCCTTACATGAATACTGCAGCACACAGGGCTGAAAAAGGCACTCCTGGCCAGGCAGATAATGAATACGTCTTCTACGTGCGACTACGTGAATTTTCAGACATAGGGTTCTCAACAGCAAGCGACATGAATACTGCATATTCTTCGGAGTTGAGATTTCACACTCAATGGAACTTATGGACTACGGGAATTCTTCAAGTGTGACTACTGCGCGATGATAACAGGACTCTGCAAGGACTAGGATTCAGCCGGATGGGGTAGTATCTGGACCAAAGGGTATATATACTGATGACAATGGCTGAAAGGATTACCTGAGCAGAGAGGTAGAAGGGTAGTCGGGACTGTTTTGTGGCAACCCATGGACAGGACGTGTATTCTGTGAAACTAAAGCCTCGCACGTGTTGTCCAATATTGCAACTCTCTCTCTCTCTCTCTCTCTCTCTCTCTCTCTCTCTCTCTCTCTCTCTCTCTCTCTCTCTCNTCTCTCTCTCTCTCTCTCTCTCTCTCTCTCTCTCTCTCTCTCTCTCTCTCTCTCTCTCTCTCTCTCTCTCTCTCTGTGTGTCTCTCTGTCTCTGTCTTTCTCTCTCTCTCGCGCGCGCGCATGCCTGCGCCCGACTGCAACTCTCTTCTTATGGTGAGGAACTACCTTTGCCGTCAATCACTGAATTCTATCAAGGCTACTAGATTCGAATCCCTCTATGCCTTACGCATCCTTCTTCCCTTCGTTTGCCGGTTAGCGTCCACCTCCAATACCGGCAATTAGTGATGAGTAGAGAATCAAATTAAAACAATAGCATGACGGAGGGGCTGTTCCAACAATAACAGCGTAAATGATCAATAATTGTATTGAGTCACCTTGGGCCCGCCCACAGTCGATCTATCATCGCACGGCCGCCGAACTTTCAAAGGACGGAAAAAAAAAAAAAAAAAAAAAAAAAAAGACAGACAGATACTGACGCTACCTCGCAGAAGGTCATGCATGATAACAGAAGCAGTAGAACCACGTGCATATCACAGCGTAATTCTGTGCGTTGGTCGCCTGCAAGCGCCACTGCGAGTAATTAACAGCTAGCTAGTTAGGGTTTCTCTGCTTGGGAGACTATACTTTCAAGCCTGTGCAGGACGACCTTCATCGTCGGCCTACTCTCTTCCAATAGGTGAACGCAATCCATCGCCAACGAGGTTAGCTCTTGCGCTTGATGCTTGCTCTTCAAGTTACTCTCCACCTCACCCCGCATATGATCATCCAGGAGTGCCCATGGGAGATCGCAGTCCGCACGCTGCGCAAGGTCATTGGCCCAACCAACGATCGTCAGCCACCCGCCGCCTGAGGAAGGATCTTGCGGTGTCGCCGCCCTCCTTCCGCTCAGCAACTCTAGAACGATCACCCCGAACGCGTACACGTCGTTCATCAATGTCAATCTACCCGATAGGCAGTACTCCGGTGCCATGTAACCGTGCGTGCCGGCGATGTGCGACGTCTCCACGAAGCTCTTCCGCGTCGTCTCGAAGATGTTCTGCCCGATGGCAGCCAATCCGAAATCCGCAAGGACGGCGTGGAGATTCTCCCCCGACCCGTCAGTCAGGAGGACGTTGAGGCTTTTGATATCCCGATGAATGACCGGCGGATTAGCACCATGATGCAGGTAGCTCAACCCGCTCGCTATCTGATACGCGATGGAAACGCGCTCGCCCAGCGTCAGCGGCGGAAGAGGATGCCTCCCCGGTATCCCGCCCCTGTTATGCAACCGAGCGTGCAAACTGCCGCCCGAGAAGAAAGGGTAGACCAACATGGACCGATCTCCCGCCTGACAGAAGCCTATCAGCTCGATGAGGTTGGCGTGATGCAGCCGGCTGAGAGTGTTGACCTCTGCCACGAACTGCTGCCGCTTCTCCGGCGTGAGCTCTCCCATCATCACCTTGATGGCAACCTGCCTGTCCGCGATCGATCCCCAGAACACCTCCCCGAACGCCCCCTTCTCGCCTACCCGGTAAATGTGGTCGAAGTTGTTTGTGCAGTGGGCCAGTTGCTCCAAGGAAAACTCTTTAACGCCGGCAGGCTGAAGCCCACGGCCACGTTGAGCAGAGCCATCTTCTTCGATACTCGTTCTACTGACGTGCAAGGAGTGTTTCACCGCCGACGTCGACAACACCGATGCTGTGGCATCTTGCCGCCGCCGTCGGGACCTCCTCCGGAATAACACGACTCCAGCGACCAGAGCGGAGCTCACGACACAGATCGCGATGGGAACAACGACAGATACTACAAGAATAATGTTCGCCTTCGCATCTCGAGGCTTATCAGGTAATAACTTCTTCTGCGAGGTCGGCGATGGTGTCAACGACACGGACGGCATGCTGCTTGGCGCGCTGGAAGGAGGGGATGACCCGGGCACAGCTGGGTCGGACTTCGCCGAGGAGCTCGACGATGGCGTTGCCAAAGATAGTGATGGCAGGCTGGTCGGCGCGCTCTGCGGAGGAGGAGCCGACGCGGACACAGTTGCATTCGGCATGGCGTCATCATCGGACTGATCACAGGAGTGCAAAGCGCTGATATCCAACTCCAGCCGAAGAATGCTCGCATGATCCGTAGCCAGGTATAGGCTCGCGGCGGAGCCGTTGTCATGAAGGTCAAAGCCGGAGCGATGACGTGTGCGGGACCACGATACATCAGTAACATTCGCAACAGTTCTGGCTGTCCGGACTCTGCCACAGCGCGAGTCGAGTGTAATCCAATGAAGTATGCCTCCAGTATCAATGATGAAGAGATTGCATCCGTTGCTAGTTACGAGTGGTGGACCAAACGGCTGCCCTGAACCAGCAAGTTCTGACATGTCGATAAGGCCGGTGAAATTTCCTTCAGCGGACTGAAGATCTAACCTAGACAGTGATGATGAGCTCAAATCATCTAAGAAGTAGAGGCACCTCCCCATTGGATCGAAGCTGCGGCCACTAAAAACAGCACTCACCCCATTGGAAAGCGTAGTGACCATCAAGGATCCTTCATCCACGGCGGGAACGTCGCCATTTCCAACCATCATCGGGGCGGCGATGATCTGTCCTCCGTAAAAGTTGCCAGTATAAAGCCTAGTCTTCGTGGGATCATACGCTAGCGAATCCAGAGAGAAATTGCCCTTTGCTAACACTACCCATTGGCCATCTCTCACGTCTAGCAGGGTAATCTCCGTGTCCGGATACTGATTATGTACATTCCGCGTGGATAGGACAAGGTGGTTTCCCGAGCCAGAAACATCCATGCAGAATATACTAACCGTGTCGTAGAGATACATATCTGTAGGCGTAAGATTTGCTGGCCCACTCTCATTGGCAGAAGGCCAACTGTAAGTGACCACCTCTCCTTGCGCACCCACGTTCCCCAGCAACGGCAGCCCTAAATCTGCCTTCCTGATTGACTGTAAATATAACTCCAGGCTGGGCCTCGTACACAACTCCGTCAATACATAGTAGACAGCGGTTTCATTAGGAGCAACAACTAACCGACTAACGCTCAGTAGATATTCCGTCCGGTTGAAAATAGGGAGGATCTCTGGCTTGCGAACAACCACGCTAATTCCAGTAACTAGAGTCGGATTCATTACAGACACCTCCCCTGATGCCACCTGAAGGGACCTGCGCGCGTCGTCATTACCCTGGAAGCCAAGTGGGCCAAGTGTCGGTGGCGAGTGCATTCCCGGGAAGGATGGCCATGGCACTCGGGAGCGCTTATTCGTTTCTCTTCGCCCTCCTCCTCCTCCCCCTTCTTCGTCCTCCTCTATCCCCCCATACCTCGTTCCCCCCAGAACGGTCGCTGCAGCCCCCCGTACCTGGTTCCCACCAGAACGGTCGCTGCAGCCCTCCATGCGAGGTGCAAACAAACACACCATGACCGCAAGGAAGGGTCCGAGGCGTGCCAGAGGTCGACCCATACCTACCGATGACACCAACTTCGATATCAGCGCCCGCCTCCGCGCGTGCATGGAGTGGATGCATTTCGCCATATCCGCTAGCGTTCGCCATATCCGCTAATCAGAGCTGGGGCCTCGATGCACCAGCAACTGGTTCGGGTGAGTGTGAAACGTGTGGGACGGTAAGTGACAGGTGAGCGACGGTACTTCGAGCATTGGGCCTCGCTCCACTACTTTTTGACATGTACAAAAGACAAAAGGCGGTGTATCTTTCCGTCTTCTAGCGGAAGATTCACTCTCGTTTTGCACATTTCGAGTAGTGGAACGAGACCCATCAAATCAAGAGATGAAAAGTAAAGGAAATACCTTTCTTTTGGTAGGTTTTAATTGTCACACTTTTCCTTTTTTCAGAAATAGCAAGACTAAGGATAGGAGCCTGGGACACTGGACCCGGTTTCCAGTCAGCCTCTTTGGGGCTTGGTTCCCCCTTCCGGGTTGAGATGTGGAGGGATTCCCGGCCTCCTTTTGCTTTTATAATGAAACTATGCTATTTCTTCAAAAAAAAAAAAAAAAAAAAAAAAAAAAAAAAAGAAATACCTTTCTTTTTTTTTTCTTTTTTTCTTTGAGCCCTTTTGGAAGATCAAGTGTAGTATCTGTTCTGGGGCCTGGACCCACTAGCGAAGTATTCTACGATGTGTGACATGATTTTTGTATTTTTTAATTTAATGGTTTATAAGTGTTTTTTAAATGAATAAAACAAAATTCATTTGTGTTATATTTCTTTTTATCGTCGATTTTTTTTGTAACTGCCTCCCACGTTGGAGAAGTGTTCGGCGTGTCAGACGGGATCTTCGGGCGCAGTAATTGGCAGCTTCCCTCGGCACCAGACTTTCCTTCGTACGAGACAGAGAGTGTTCGCAGACCAATGTCTTTGGCTGCGTCGAATGTATAGAACCTAGCATTAGGGTCGGGTGGGGACGGGGACGAGTGCACCGAGTCCAGCTGCATTCACAATTGTCGGATGCGTTGTCCTGCAGAGTCGTGCACAACTAGGCCTAATAAAACTGAAAAATATAGGTGTAAGCGGGTATAGGGCGTCGACCGGTCATCTGGCCGTTAGTTACACATTGGGAGATCGACGGAGGCGGTGCTAAAAAACTCTCCGACCGTGAGATGCAGGTGCAAAATGAGACTGAATCCTTTGTTAGAGCATGAGAAGATACAGTCCGAATGGGCAATCCTTCGTTAGAGCATGGGACGATACAGTCCGAATGGGCAATACTTCGTTAGAGCATGGGAAGATACAGTCCGAATGGGCAAAATGAGACTGAATCTTCCTCTAGAAGATGGAAAGATACATTGCCATCGTTTCGGTCTTCTGTTCATTGCGGAGAGTAGTGCAGCGAGGCCCTATTCTCGATTTATGCGTGTCATCCTTGCGCAGTGAGGCCCTATTCTTTTTTTTTTTTTAATTTTATTAAATCCATTTCTCGATTTATGCGTGTCATCCTTGCGCAGGGGCCATGCTAATCTTCTCTGTATCGTTCCAATTTTAACAGATGTCCCGAAGGCCTATTCTTGCTTTTCCCATCTTCCCATTTTTTTGGCGGCCCTACGCCCAGTGTGGCTAGAGTGTTTTTTTTTTTTTTTTTTTTTTTTTTTTTTTTTTTTTTTTTTTGCGAAAAAACTGTGTCTGTATTGTCAAAACATGAACAGAACGAGGTCGGGGACCTAACAAATCAACCCGGAGTTATCCTGGCAGCCTCAGCCAGTTTAGCGTATTGAGAAATAGCACTCATATTTCCTACTGCCTCAGAGGTACTCTCTCTTTCTACTAGAAACCCGATCTAGCAATCTCCCTATGCATATAGGGACTACCCGGCCCTCTCAGCAAGAGCTGCCTGATACGAAGAGAGCAAACTAGGCCCGGTAGGGTAATCCCATAAAAGCTCAGAGTAGAAGAGATTGTTGCTGCCTGTGAGACCGGCCCATTGAAAGGGAGTAGACCATTTCCTCTGGAATTGTTCCCGAGCTGCATCTCCGGAGATGGACTGACTCTTTATTTTAACCCATTCTGCCATAATGTCTATTCTGATTGAGTGCTTGAACTGAGCAAGTGATGACTGAATCGAGGGATGGGAATTAAGGAAACGTCTGTCTCTCCTGGCTAGCCATATGCACCAAAAGGCTCTAAGTCTGAATGTCTGGGCTACAGTTCCAATCTGATGCTGTTTGAACTGAGAGCTTAATCTACCAGTGATAACAAAATCCTATTTCAAAATCCAACACAAGTTGCCTTGGACCAAGCGAATTCAGACTGTCCCAAAAGCCCCTAGCAATGACGCATTCCCACCATAGGTGTAGCCAGTCTTCTAGACATGGATGTGGACAAGCCTCGCAAAGGGTAGAGATGTCCATGCACTTCTCAGAACACCAGAGTGATGTCTGTACACAGGAATGCAGATGCATCCATTGAAGACCCCCTGTCTTGGTTTCCAGAGAGGAAGTGATGATGTGGATGAAGAACAACAGCCATTTAGTAGATAGAGGTTGGAGGTTGAGAGAGGAGATCCTACGCTGCCAGTTCAGGGTCAGGCTCGTCTGTAGGGAGTAGGCTTCTGAGAAAAGAGAGTAACCCAGCTGATATGAATACTCTGCAATAGGCACCCCGTTACAGGGTACGTTTGCCCGTGAAACCCTCCAGCCATATCTGTATACGTCCACTTTCCATTCTTTGATGGGGATTGCTGACATGGCCATCCGGAAAACGGGATGACCCTGTGCGTCTTTGGACAAATGAACCTTTACTTCTTCCATACCTGTCAGATTGGTTGGCTGGGTGTCTCCTGTCATGTTTAGCTTGTCGTTACACAGAGACCATTCCGACGCTTCCATGGTGCCGTCTTCCTTGACTCTATCGATTCTGAAGAATTTGTCTGATGTCGACGAGGCCTTGAACCATTGATGCTCCTTTAATCCCTTACTCGCTTTCTGAAGAATAGTCGTCCAAGTGGGAGGGATAGCCTCAATGATCTCCTCCAGGTGGTCTGTTTGACGCTGTAAACCGGCGAGTTGCTGATGGAGTTCTGTTGGGCTCTTCCAATTCTTTGAGTCTTCGTCCCATATGTGGCGAACCAGCCAGATACCTCGCTGCATCCATTTGAGACCAAAGTTCCCAGTAGATTTGGCAACCGAGAAGGGGAGCCCAGCCCTGTTCCTGATTGATGGGTTTTCGAAGAGGCATGTGTTCAGGATCTCATCTTGGGTGGAGGGGTTAGTGAGCATTTGAGGGAGCATCTTCGACCAGGCTTTGAGGATATTAGTCCAGGTATTAGTAGTCGGTCTGTTAGTAAAGGGGCGCATGAGTAGAGCACACCAGACCGCTTCTGGGTCTGATAAGGACCACTCCTTGGCCAGCGAGTGTGGGGCGAGGATGATCCAAGGCTGGTCCTCCTTGGAGGTCAGTGCACGGACTGGCCATTTGGCCAAGAGGGCCCGCTTCTGGGTTTCTGGGTCAAGAATGCCCAGTCCGCCTGCAACTTTTTTTTCCGTAATTTTGCTCCAGCTAACTTTGCTGAGAGCTGATTCCGCTTCAGAATTTCCCTTCCATAGTAAACGCGTGACAAGGCGTCTAATGTTAGTAAAGGAGTTAGGGGATGGCGATCTGATGGAGAGGATGTACCATATTCTAGAGGATATAAAGGTGTTAATGATTGTCGCTCTTCCGAATAGGGAAAGGAAGCAGGTTTTTTACCATGACGCGCAGGCATCTCTAATTCTATTTTCAATGATTGTGTTATGCACCTCTGAGGGGTTACCGAAGGAAACTTGGATGCCCAGGTACCTTTCTACCTCTGCAGTTGTTTTGACTGGAATACCCAGATCTAAGGCAAGAGGTTGTCCGTTGGGGGTGAGGGCGACTGATTTCTGCCAACTCACCCGCATCTCAGATGCCGTTTCGTAGATCGACAGGCAGTGCTCCAATGCTGTCAGTGATGGGAGGGAGTTGTCCGAAATAGCAGAGAAATCGTCCGCCAGGGCTGATACTTTGATTGAGTAAGATGGGGAGATCTGGAGACCTGTGTAATCCGGATGTTTTCTTACCATATTCATCAGGACTTCTAATTGGATTACAAAAAGTGAGGGGGCTAAGGGGCACCCCTGCCGCAACGAACGTGTGACTTTGAAGGCTGTGGAGGGGTGTCCATTTACCAGTACCCTACCGGATGATGCTCCATAGAGTGCCCTTACCAGTTTCCTGAAGTTCCGTCCCACTCCCACCCGTGCCAGAGTGGCTTGGACGAAATCCCAATTCACACGATCGTATGCTTTCTGGAAGTCTATAAGGATCACAGTCTTGTTTAGATTATGGTTTTTGATCCAGTCTATAGATTGAGATATTGTCATAACGTTGTCTAGCACTTGTCTACCTGGTTCGAAACCAGATTGATCTGGTAGTACTATCTTATTTAGGAGGGGGTTGATGCGGCGAGCCAGCGTTTTGGCTAATATTTTACCAGGAACGTTAAGTAATGAAATTGGTATGTAGTTCCTGACATTGGCCTTGTTCCCCTTCTTGTAGAGAAGGGTTATTATGCCTTCTGTTGTGTGTGGACCCATCGGTTGCTCTTCCAGGATCTGGTTGAAGACTCGAAGTATGTCCGGGGCCAACAGAGTCCAATTTTTTTTGTAGAACTCCACCGGGAGGCCGTCAGGGCCTAGGCATTTACCCTTTGTCATGCTGTTTAGTGCAGCAGTGAGTTCGGAGAGGGTAGTTCGTCCTTCTAGGGAATTAGATTCTGAGTCCGTCAGTATGCGTGAGGTTGCATCTCATAGGGCGTGTTCCAAGTGGGGAGGGATAATGGGGGAGTTTGGAGGCTTCTCGGAGATGAGGAGTTGCTGGTAGAAGACTTTGACGTACTCGCACAACGATGCTGAGTCCTTTGCTGGTGGTTTAGAAGGGTCGTCTGGATGGTCTAGAATAGAGATGAGGGTAGTGTTACGATTGTGGTTGACGGCTGCTGCAGTTTTGTCAGTTAGTCTGTCGGTGTGGAGGATCTTGTCAACTTGCCTGTGTCTTTCC